GACTCCTTTGATATGGCCAAATGTCAGCCACCACCTGGTCCAGGGAGAATAAAGCCCCCATCGTGTAGCTAGGTCTAGCAGGCAAACACCTACAGGCAAGCAACTCTCCCAGTTGGTGCCTAATTTCAGACATGCTGGACCTGGATCTTCTTTCATCGTCTCCCTCTATTCCTCTGTTAATGCTTGAATTATCCCTCTTGTCGAATATCTTCTTTCCAGGTCTTACTCACAAGCCCCCAGCTGAGTGTTAGTGAGTTGAAGCTTCAGATGCATGATGAAAATGTAGCTTTGATTATCTAGACTTGGTAAGGTCTGTAGGTGAAATTTGGGATCACAGGAGACCTTGGACCAGGAGTGACTTGGAGGAATAACCCAACTAATATGAATCTCAGTGATGCCTCATTATCGTCCTGTCAGCTCTTCTATCTTTGCAGGCATTTTTCCTGCAACCCGGCAGACCAAAAGGCTAAAGACAAAAGTCTCCCGGCCAGTTAGCGCAGATACGAAACATGTCAGAAAAACTACAAAATCTGCAGTTGCAGAAGCAATAGCTCCTGGTAAGGTCATGGATGTCTCAGGAGAGGAGACTGGGCTTTTCTAAGGCATTTCCCGTAAAAGTGAGGAAATACTTCGGCAGGAAAGTAAACTTTGAACAAACTTTTGTACCTACTTTTTGTAAGTGAATGGAACAAGATCCCATGGTGGAACCTGGGGGTGTAGCTCATATGGGCCCCACAGGTCTTGGCACCATTAGTGACCAATATGGAGCTCATGATGGTCCGATCCCATGTGGGCCCACATGGACATGTTGTCTGACTTGTTAACAAATGAGGGCAACACGGAGGCCGAGACAGGCGCCTAGGTGTATCAAAATTGCATAATGTTGTTAGATGCCAGGCCATTATAGTGACAAAAGCACCTGAGCCTGAAGGCAAAGCTCTCAATTTACAAGTCGATTTATGTTCTGACCTTCAGCTATGGTCACAAGTTTGGGTTGTGACTGAAATGATAAGATCGAAGGATACAAGCAGCTGAAATGAGTTTCCCTTGCAGGGTATCTCTGCTACCTATCCCTCAGGGACAGTTTGAGGAGCTCTGATATATATGAGAAAAGTTTATGGACAACTCTCAGTGGAGGAATTATGTGCACAAACATCTGGGTATAGGCATGGATTGATTACTGAACAGGCCAACTGGGCATAGACCCAGGGGCCTAAAGTGTTAGGGGACCCCTTTGCTGCAAAATGTCATTTAAATGAACATGTTACTAACCAGGAAGAAACTAAAATGATGACAAAAGCCCCGTTCCCACCAAGCAGTAAAGTACAGTTTGATTCAGTACACTTTCTTTACGTTTCCACAGTAAAAAGTTGTAGATAGTACCAATGGAACCGTTTCGTGATTGGTCAATAGGGGATGGTCACTCTGCCCAGGGCTGAGTTGTGGCTGGTTTTAAGGCTCATGTAACTATCGTTTATACTGTGGAGAATTTCACATATATTAGTAGACTGTAACTATAAAATGAAAGGGTGTTTTGCTTAATAACTGCAACTTTTAAAGGAAATGGCCACTTTAGAATGAAAATACAGACAGTACTTACTGACTGGAGAACTAGCACCACCACTAGCCATCAACTAGTCTTGCGCGAGCTGCCATGTAAACACAGCACGCCTGCAGGGCAGGCTAACTGACCACGGTGAGACATATGCTATAAAAGTGGAGTAAATTACGTCTTTTCAAGTCAATTTTGCATTCCGCGGCCTCAGGGCACTTGGATTACGACAGACGACACGTTCTGACGTTTCTGAAATGCATTAGCGGAGTTTTATTACATTTTCAAAATGTGGGTTCCGTGCACTTCAAGTATGGAAAAATCTGGCTTGCTGTTATCCTCCGATACCCCAAATGAGTTTTGTGGATTAATAAACTACACTGGACTTTCTTGTCGGCATGAAGGTCAGTAAGTACTGTCTGTATTTTCATTCTAAAGTGGCCATTTCCTTTGAGGTGGAACTTTAACTTGTAATGTATGAACTGATGATGTGAATCCATCAGCACACCTTAAATTTCACTGTGACAACTTTGACCATTACTCTAGTTTTTATTGTCTCTCTTGGTTGACATAGACTTTTTATAAGTGGATCTTCAAGCGTTTAAAAGTATACATTAATTTTTATCGGATTATGTGAACTGCATATATTCCAATCCTCACTTGGAGAAAACACCAAAGCATCACGGAGCATTGTTCCTTTGGGCTACGGCAACACTAAACCCTTGAGCTTGCCTGAGAAGGACTAAATGCACAAACCTGCCCTTTTGAAATATCCCATCAAGAGACACTCACTCCAACCTATTTTATTTTGTTCTGAAAATGTTGGTGTGCAGCCCTGTTCTGTGGACATGAGGTGCAGACTGATAAAGGAGGAAATACAGTGAGTGCTGGACAAAGCAGTGAGTGACAACAACCCCGCCCACATGACAGAGCACTGTTTGTGCTGGAAACACTAAGCGGACCTAGGGTCTAGGTACCATGTCTGAAGGGTTACTTTTAGTTCCAAAGGTACCATACTGAAAGTGTTTGGTGGAAACGGGGCTATAGAGAGGCAAAAAGACCACAAAGAGATGCAAAGAAAATGCAAAGAGACACAAAACTACTATAAAGACACATAAAATGACCAAAAAGGACACAAAATTCATTCAAACAGACACAAAATCACATTATATAGCATAGCAAAACAACAACAAAATAAGAGGCAAAACCACTACCAAGTCTGTGTGTCTTGCTCCTATATAGGAGACGTGGTGGGGCCTATTGCATATCTGCGCCCAAGGACCCATTGTCTCATAATGTGCCCATGGGTGTAGACCCCATGATACACCTAAAAATACTCAATAGGGCCTATATTTCCTCAGCTGGTAGGAATGTCCTGGGATCACAAAGCAGACAGGAGTTTGTGCAAAAATTGACAACACTAATTTATAATGTTTAAGAAAGCGTTTACAAAGTACGTACGAATTGCCACACTGACTACTGTACCTGTCAGATGTGTCTGCACACAATAAATTAAACGAATGGAGCTCTCAGGTAACAACACTACGCAGCACACTATCACCGTAGCCCGGCCATCTGCTTATTGCAGGCAGTTTGTTGTAATGACTCTTCAGTCTCCTGAGCGGCGACCTCTGAGATGGTGAGGAGAGGAGAGCAATCAAAGCACATTCAGTTCTGCTACAGTCATTTGGCCACTCTCAAAAAGCTATCACAGGGTGCAGCTGTAAACATTTTGCTCCTCAGCACTACCGAGACTCGCAGTCAAAGAGGATAGCAGCTATCAGTCTCTTTCACAGAGGAAGCCCGTGTGAATACACTCCGCAAGCTGAATATAGCGAAGGGGGGGAAAAATACACTGAATAGTCCTTGGAGCTGAATTTGGTCAAAAAACCTTCATTATTCAAAAAGAAAAAAGAAGACTAAAGGCTACGCTCCAGAATTCCCCCAGTCTCTGTTGTCGATGTGCAACAGCCATGCAATTTATGTGTTGATGAGCAAGCCAATAGCTGTTTGTGTTCATTTCTAAAAGGCACACAAAGACACACAAAGAGCAATCCTTTGGAGTGTTTCAGTGATGAATGAGCTTTTGGAATGAGACTATATCTGCTATTTCAGTGACAACTATTTATAATCAGCCCGTGTGTAAACTGAGCCCTTTATCAACACTGTCAGCTGTCTGTATATCTCCTCAACACACAACGACACATTTGGATTGAAGTCACGGCAATAACTGCAAAACATACAGGACTTCCTGCTTCCTGCTTCTGTGCAGAAGCTGTATTATGTCATTAGATAACATCGCCACCTTGTGGACCTTTGTTTGGTTTCTTCTGTGCAGAAAATGCACAGTCAAAAAAAGTCAGGATATCCAAAGATATACTGAAAATATTGAGTAGGCTCATCCTCATGGACAGGGTTTGGCTGGAAGAGTCTTAGTAGATATTTTATTACACCCACTCAGAAGTCTCACCACAGCTGCTGGAGGAATTATGGCTCCCAGAAAGCCAACCACTAGAACTTGTTTTGGGCCTGTCCAAAAGTAAACATTTTCTGGCGTGAGGTGTTTACATAATTAATGACTATATTTTGGACAAACATTATATTTAAGTGAGACAGACTTTATGGAGGGACTTCTACTTTCAACATCCACAAAAATTAACCCTTTGACTTACTTGATTTCTTTGTAAAAACATGGAAAGAGGGCAATAGGCAATGAAATAAGAAATGACCCAAAAAAATTTGGAAAATAAGAAAATATTTATTTTCATAAAACATAAATGTTTATATCTATAAAATAAACACAAATTCAGTAAAAGAAAGAAAGAAAGAAAGAAAGAAAGAAAATACAAAAAAGGAAATGCCCAGGAAAGAGCAATTTGTGGGACATTTCTTACCGCTTTTCTCATTGCCTTATTTCGTATTATGAAATTATTGTAATGGAAAGAATTACCTACTCAATGAGGCTTCAGGAAATTAAATTTGAGGAAATTTAGATGTGGAAAATGTTTATTTCCCCTTGTTTTGTTTGAATGTGTTTACTTAACTGTCTGTTATTATTATTTTTATTGATATATCTTCAATTAAAACACCCCATATTCTTTGCTTGTGTTTTAAATTACATTGCAAATCTGGAAAAATTGTTAACTCTATAAAATTACTAATGAGGTTGACTGTTGTTATTCAGTGATACCTAATTAAAGGAAAAATGTCTTGTTCATTTCAGAGACTTTGGGATAAAAACAAACACCAAGGCTTTAATTATTACTGAAATACAGAGACTGAGTGTCCCCTCCCTCACATGACTATTTTTGTACCGTGACATGAAATATGAGAAGACATCAGCAAACACGCTCACACACACCAGAAATAAAAACTGGTGCAGAAGATTAAAAAAACACAAACCTTAGTCTCATTCAGTAAACTGAAAACACAGTGTTTGGTCAGTTGGGTTAGTCAGGTTGTGATCTGTCACAAATCCATAGGGGCTGACCAAAGATGTCAACATAACTGGCAGAGACTTATTTAGGGCTGTGGCTCCTCAGATGCTCACCAGCAGCTGTTGTGCATGTGTGTGTGAGCGCATGCGTGTCTGGACTTTCCCTTTCTTCTGATCGGACAAGTTTTGTCTGGTAAGCCAATTCCATTTATTGCTTGGAATAGATCGACCACCTCCAGCTCTTCAACAAAACGAGCCCTTGATACTAAAGCTGAGGAGTAAGAATAGATTTAGAGGTAAAAGCCTATAAATAGCAGGTGGGCTTTGAGTTCCTGCTGCAGAGAGTCTGTTTGAAGTAGGCCTGCAGAAACATTTGTGTGTGTGCTTAAAACTCACTCTACCATATGAAAGAGGAGCATAGCATAGTAGTATATGCTGCATGTAGTTAAGTAGGCAAAGAAGAAAAAAGAAAAGTAATTTTGCATGTTTATTCCCTTCTACTGACACTTGTTTAATGGAGAAATAGAGGGATACGGAAGGATATACTGGAAGTGTGAGGCTTATATATATTCTACATGTCATAAAATACATGCAGCTAATGAAACCTGTTCATCTACTCAGGAAATCACAGTCACCATGACTCTCCAGTGGACGGCTGTGGCTTTCTTCCTCTATGCAGAGATAGCAGTCAACCTCATCTTGTGTATACCCTTCATATCAGCACGGAGGTACCGCAATTTAACACACAAACCCATTTAGCAATACATGTTCAGCTTCCTGTGCAGGAGTTTCATTTGTAAATAAGAAAAATGAAAGTGACACTTCACACACATGACCAGCAGAGTGCATGCATGTCCTTTCTGTGTAGATCTACTGTTATTACGTTCAGTCACAGTGTCCTTTTTTTAACCTGCTTTGTAGATGGCGTTCAGTTTTCGGCTGGAGGATATGGAACTGGTTGACTCCATATTGGAACAAATGCTTCTTTACTATGATCATGGTTCTTATTGTTCTTTTCCTCGGTAAGCAAGTGACAGACATTGAATAACACTATGTAGACCAGCCAGCATCCGTCATGCTTCTGTCCCCCTGCCCACTTCCAGATGCTGTCCGTGAGGTGCAGAAGTACTCAGGTCCCGAGCCCATGCACGACGCCAAGGTGAACCCGAATTTGTACGACAACGTCCACATGAAGCTGTTCAGAGCTCAGAGGAATCTCTACATCTCTGGCTTCTCGCTCTTCCTCTGGCTGTTAGTCTCATTTCTTTTCTATTCTATATAGTATTGTATAGTAACAGAACCATTTCCATTCCACACAACTGCACGCTACACTTTCTGAGCTCCGGTCTTGTCCTGCATTTCTTTTTCTTCCTCCTGCTGTCATCTCTTCCTGACCTGTCACAGTATCATGCGTCGGATTGTCACCCTGCTAAACCAGGTTGCTGTCAGTGTGGAGAACAGTGCAGGTCTGCAGGCACAGATGGACAGTGCTGTCAAAGCAGCCAAACAGCACCAGGACGACAACCTGATGCTCAAACAAGTGAGACTTAATCTGATGACGGGATTGAAACTAATTTCTGTCTTACAGTCTTAAAGCCTGTTCCAAATATTTGTGACTCATGTTGGGTATGTAGATATAAATGCATGCCATACTTTCCACAGAGCTATTTGTGCTATTTGTATTTCTATGTACTCTTTTGGTAATTAAGGAGAATCCTTTGTTCTCAGGCTCTCTTGAATGAGGAAAAAGCCATGTCAGCGAAAAACCAGCAACTGAAGCTGGAGGCTAAGAAGCTGGCAGATCAAGTTAAGGCTGCTGAGGAGGGTGAGTAATCATCGCTTCCTTCGTACAGGATGATCCGCAGTTATACCTTTTTAAACCAGAGAAACATTCTTATAATAACACATTCATGTAAAGCTAGAAAATGAATAGCTGTAGTGCTGTTTGTGTGTGAAGCTGTGCACAAGTCTCAGGCTGAAGTGGAGGCCATGAAGAGGCAGGCCAAAGGTCTGGCACAGGAGTACGACAGACTACTGACGGAACACCATCAGCTCCAGGTAAGACACACCAAATCACAAATACTCACTGTATATTAACCCTGCTAATACTGGAGAAACTCTGTTTTTAATCGTGTTTTTTATCCACAGAATCTCCAGAGTCCTGCAGACAAAAAGGATCAGTAACAACAGGAACACAGTGACAATTGTTTCCAGGATTCTCCTCAACACCTTTTCTTCTCATTATACACCAGAACTGTGTGCTGTGTGCAGGAAGCCACCAGAGGCAATGTTTGTATGATCTTTTATAACTTTCATTTTCCTTTGAAGCTTGAACCGAGGCACAATTTCTTTATTTGATGGGATTAAACAAACAGTAGAGTGCAGTGTATCTGATAAACAGGAGCAGGTCTATTTTCAAATGCTGAAAACATCTTCTCACTAAAGTCTTTATCAGGAACATGAACCATTTATTTTTGCCTGTTACTTATGAGTAATAAAAAGGTACAAATGAATTTGAATTTCGTCTCAGGGGGCTCATGCTTGTTGCTAATGCTAACATTTAATAATGATGAATACCTGACCACATCCTTGAAGTTCATTACACTAAGCTGCAGAGATGGTTCACCGGTTTACTCAGAGATTTCCATAATAGTGTCCTCCTGTGAGCACACAATGACTAATGCATACATGCTGTACTTTAAAGGTCCAGCGTGTTGGATTTAGGGGGATATATTGGCAGAAATAAAATATAATAACTATGTTTTCTTCAGCGTATAATAACCTGAAAGTAAGAATTTTCCTGTTTTCGATACCTTAAAATGAGCCGTTTATATCTTACTTATTACGGAGATTGCCATGTTTTACAGTAGCCCAGAATGGACAAACCAAACACTAGCTCTAGAAATTTGGACAATGAGCTTTTTCCACAAAGGGCTGTCAATTCTGGGACACATTACCAACTGAAATCAAACTGATTACAGATTTAAAATCCTTCACAACAAAAGTCAAGTGCTGGCTAAAAGCAAACCAGAGCTGTAGCCACTCTTAGCTACATGCCCTCAAACTTTTAGGGGTAATAGTGTCAGTGTTTTGGTATACTGTGGTATGCACATGGTGGTATGTCTGTTGTAGTAGATGTATTGTGGGGTTATGTTGTGATGCGTTTGTATTGTGGTATGTGTATTATGTTTTTTGTATTTTATTGTGCCTTCCGTGTTTATAGTGTATTGTGGTTATATGATGTTTTAAACAGTGTCTGTTTAATAACACTTTAGGTCTACATGTAAAAGCCCAACCAGGGACAAGAGCTGAAATTTAGCAATAGCTATAAACTCTCTGTGCAACACATCAGTCTCATATTCTGTATTAGAACTATGTTAAAGTGCATTTTCCCTATCAATAAATAAATAAATAAATAAAATAACAAAGATAGGGTTATTTACGTTTTTGCATTGGCAGCTCCTCTGTGGGAAGAGCGTCACACTGATTTTTTTTTTGTGAAAGTGTTTTATTCACTGTTTTTACTGGTTTTAATCAACAGGTCTATTTATTTCAGACAGGAAGAGACCTCTTACCCCTTTCTGTCTATTAGTAGGAACCTCCTGAACAATTAATACTGAAGGAATTCTAATTGGGAGAAGATTCAGCTGGTTGCAGTTTGCAATCCTCACCACTAGATGCCACTAAAACCCCCAAAAACTTGCACATTGTTCCTTTAAGTCATTGTATTTTTATGGTAGGCATGAGCTCTAATTTATTGCTAACAGCCTTTCACACAGACGACATGTAGATGAATCCTGCCGTTTCGTTTCTTCAGTGAGAGGAGTGCACTTGACTTGATGTGTTCATTTGTTCATTGTCAACATCTATGTTTTAACACAGTGGTTCCCAACTGCTGGGTCCTAGTCCCAAAAGTTGGTCCTGGTCCATTCTGAATGGACCACAAGTGACTCGCAACATGTCAAGTTTGAAAAAACACACTTTACTTTGAAGTACAGTGAATTTCCAGCACCATGCTTTTACTTTGAAGTACCATTTCCTGCTGTAATGGACAGCTACATGAGAGAGACAACAAACTAGCTCAGTGACATGAACAAATGCAAGTATGACACTGTGTGGACGAAGGAGAAATCTGGACCCTGTGGCTGGACTAGCTGGGAACCACTGTTTTAACAGATGTTTAGATTATTACAAATGATGTTAATTATCTGTCTTTGAACTCACTAAGAATCACCAAGAAATGGCTACCACCAGAACACCATGCTGACTTTAAAGGACGCCTTTTTTCGTTTGTTTCTGACACTGCAAGTCACTGCCCAAGTGCCAGATTTCCATGACTTTGGAGTGACACTGGGCTCCCTGGGATGGAAGATCTACCTTCAAACCTTGATGTGTATATTGTGACACACTGATGTTGAGTTGCCTGGCTATTCTTCACATTTTGTAATTTGTTTGGTTGGTATATGACAAAGGCACGAGCATGAAAAATAAACATAACCCCAGATAGTGTGTTTCTCAGTGTCATACTGCGATCAATCATGGAGCCACTGAAAAGGCTGGTGCCACACTGACACAAAAAGGTTTCATCTTTCTGAAGGAATGCCTTTTGTTACATCTGGACAGGAAGTGGTATTTTCCCCTCTGTGTGCCAACAGGCAGCTGTTGCACTTGTGTTGCCTGCTGCTTGTTGACCTTATTTTTCCTTACACAGAAAACACATACCTTGCCACAGTGTACAGTGGCCACGTTTAAAGCTCCTCCAATACAGTGGAGTTTAACCATCTTATTGAAGCACCTTAATATATGAATGCAAAATATAATTTCAGCAAGTTTAATCATAAAAACCAAGACCAACATAGAAAATACAGCACAATTACATTGTTTTTTTTCTACAAAATTCTTCCAGCCATGAAAAAACACAAACACATAAACTTATACATCCCAGAAATTGTCTTTTTTTTTAATGACTCATCATCTACACAAATCCTGTACAAATATATACTCTGTGTGCTATGAAAAAGTGTCCACAGTGTGTGTTCTTCTATACGAACTGAGTCAGAAGAGACCGAAGTTGTGCTGAAGCTCACAAGCGGGTCTCTCTGTCAGGATTGCAGTCCAAGGCCAGTATAAACTGCTCACAGTGTATGGAGCTGTCCTCCTCTTTCCTTAGTGACTCCAGCTCTGCACTCCCGTTGGTCAGAGCGTTTTTCTCCTCCCTCTTGATATGTCTTTTCAGTGAAGCAAAGCCTGAAATACAAAGGAAGAAGGAGACTGTCCTTAAGCCCAGTGTCAGGCCCAGGTACACCATCCTGCAGAGAGAGGAAAGCAAGACTGTTAGGGGACAAACTGGGAAAGAGTCAAGCATTGTATTAGCATTAAGAGTCTAACAACAACAACATGGTCCCTCTATTTTCATCCGTCTAATAATTTGGTCAATGAGCATTGCAGCTAGCTTGGGTATAGACATTTTGTCTTATTTCTAAGTGAACTCAAGGCCCCAGTAATTACCTGTACGCTGAGGTGTTATATATTCTGCATGCTCCTTTTCCTCCACACATCTTGTTTCCCCATTTGAGGCAGGTTGTGTCGATTATGGCTCCAAAGTATATCGGGGCAGGTATTCCAGCTGTTGTGCAATTCAAAATAACTTAGTACTCCAAAAAAAAGACCACATAAATGGTTACTTCAAGATGAGATAGCAAGATGAGAGATTTTTGTACTTAATATAATCGTTCTAATTAATTAAAAATATGTGCTCACATAGGATCCTTAAAAATATCTACACCATATATCAGCTTCAAGCAATAATTTGTTTCCAAACACACACCCACAGACATTATTCCAGTAAACTGCTCACTCTAACACACAGTACGCTGAATGTCAGCTCTTAGGAGATTTCCATGTGTTTGACATTCACAGGAACTAGACAGTAACGTACAGAATACCAAAGATGCTTCTCACCAAGGGTGCGAGTGGCCAGCGTGTAGATTCCAAGAGCGAGGGATTTCAGCTCAGGTTTAATGCACCTATAGAGACAAGACTGCGGCGTTAAAGGGACAGTTCACCCCAAAATTAACAAGACATATTTCCCCTCTTACCTGTGGTTCTCTTTATCAGTCTAAATGTTTTTGGTGTGAGTTGCAGAGTGTTGGAGATATCGGCCGTGGAGATGTCTGCCTTCTCTCGATTACAATGGAACTAGATGGCACTCAGCTTGTGGTCCTCAAAGCGCCAAAAAATACACGTCATCAGCAATGTGTCTTTCCAGAAATCATGACCTGGTTACACAAAATAATCCACAGACCTTGTTGTGAGCAGTTTTATGTGGGAACTATTTTCTTTCTACTGAACTACACCCACCATCTGAATCACAGCACAGAAGGCAGTGTGCATCTACTCATGGATGAGAGGTTCATGTCTTGACAGCGCAAGATGAAAACAATAATGGCCCCCTTTTTGGCTGAGCTGTAACGTTAGCTGGCTCAGTGGTGCTAGGTGAGCTAGCAGTAGATGAGTGTTTTTCAAATGTATTTTTGGTGCTTTGAGCACCACAAGCTGAGTGCTATTTCCTGCCGGTTCCATTTCATTCAAGAGATGGAAACATCAACACTCAGCAACTCACACTAAAACAATAAAAATGATGATAATGATAAATAGCACAATAGCTAAGAGGAAAAATAAGTATGTTTGACTTTAGAGTGAAATGTGTCTTTAAGGTAAAAGAGTTGAAAAATGCTAAAAGTTATGCTAAAAGTTATTTCTGACATATGATGACACTGTATCATATGTAAGTGATGATTTGTTCTGTTAAGAGCAGGATGTGTAATATGTTTAAGAATGAGAACATGATGTATTGCTCCAACAACAGGCTGCACGTGGACTGAGTCCAGTGATCCCACAGAGGGGCTGTCGACAGACCTGACAAGCAGCATGAAGCCGGGTGTTCCCCCGAGAGAGATGATGAAGGAGCTGAGGACGGACAGAGCCAGGAAGTAAGGAAAGATTTTGTCACAGCTGTTTCCGCGTGGACACTGGCCCAGAGTGGCCGTCAGGTTGCCCAGCTGGGTGTCGGCCAGAGCTACACACCTGCAACTGTCAAACACCTAACAAAGAAGAAAAGTTTATGAATGATAGAAACACTTGTCCTGTAGGTCAGGGATACTCAACGTGCTTTGACTGGGGGCCACTTCTGCAAAATGACAGGAGGTCAGGGGCCGGTCACAGAAGCCCCACACAGGGCAGGTTTACACAGGGGTGTTCCTAGGATTTGAGGATATAGGACCTCTGTTGGGGGCACCCTGGCACCTTATTTCTATTAAAAGTGCAAAAACATTCCCATTGTGAATTAACTTATTTTCATTGTGAATTAGAAAATGTTGACGAGCCACATGGCACCCTGTCACAGGCCAGATTTGGCCCACGAGACTCTGGTTGAGTATCACTGCTGTAGGTGGACAGTCATGCCAATATAACTGAAATGCCACATGCTACTGTGCAGATATTGATCATTATATAAATG